CTTTCCCTAGCTTCTTGCTATTTCCCAGCTATAATCTGTTTTCTTTCATCCCAGGGGCAATAGAAGGACAACAAAAGAAGGACCCGGTGATTTGAAATTCCAGAGCTTCACTCTGCCCCCAAATAGGTCAGAATATTTACTTGTTTATTAATAGAGGAGTGAAAATTTTGATTCTGTGGCAAATCAGCTGACCATCACACATACAGAGACTTAATGTGATAGAGTTTCATTGCCAGGAGTGACCGTAAAGGCTATGCAGAGACCAAGGCACAGGGGACAAGGGACTTGTGAACAGCCAGTAGGTATGTGATATGAACCTCAGCGGAGAAACTTCCAGCCCCCACCGCTTTGCAGACCAGAGCTATTTCTAAAACCATCCAGGTGTCTAAACAGTCCAAAGGAAAGACACTGAGGGGCAGCCTTCCACTCCTCTACGCACGAATCATTTAAATCATGGGTCATAGATCAGGCCACGAGCCCACCCTGGGGTCTCTCAACCAAGCAGACAAGAGAGAGATGAGGGTTTATATCATTTTTCTCTTTGTTCTTCGATTCGGAAAAACATTAAATGCACAGTTTTGACATCAGAACTTGCACAAGCTACTGAAAATGCAGAAACAAAATGCAGAGTCTATCCTCAAGGGGTTCACAGACTAGTCAACAAGCTCAGAATCAAGTGCTAACTAACTTGATTCATCTACTGCCAAGAGACCAAACCCACCATCAAATTCAGCTCTACACTGACCAGCAGACTGGTCCTGGGCCACAGCTGATGTGTAGAACACTGGGAGGTCTCTCCTGCACCCAGCCGCCTCTCTCCCCAGCCCTCCTGCAGTGGTCTCTAGTCCGAGCTGAGTCTCCATGAGTTACGCCAACCCTTGCATCCCAGCTTAGCACAACTTGAATCAATCCACCGAGCAGCCTTCCATCCCTACTATGTGCCAGACACTATAAGCAGCCTTGGGATCCTGAGATTTACTGGGCTAAATATTTTCCCTAAGCAGAGTGAATCAATGCCCATAAGATAGGGTACTTGAGTTATTTTTCAAAATCACTTTAAGCAAAGGAAAATGTGTGGCTGTTCTGACTTCTCTAATGTTTACATTATATACATTTGAATAATGCATTTTCAGTCAGCTTTTCTTATTTCTTGACAATAGCAAGAGATGGGAGATGGAAGGTTAGAAGTCTTCCTTCAAACGGCTGAAGCAATTACATACATCAAAGTAATATTTACGGTTACATTTGGGGGAAAAAAAAAGACAGAGAGAGAAAAGCAGTGCTTTTTTTTGAAGCAAATTATTTCAGAATGTGTCATAGCATGCTCAAGATATATTAAAAAGAGCAACAGACGAAGTTTCTGCAACCTGCTCCAAACCATTTATAAACCCAAATTAAAAATAAAAAATCCTCATATACATACAAATCTCTGTACCGCTGCATATTTTATAATGAAAGTATTATATAAATATAAATTAGTAGTCGAGATACAGAAATCCAGTCAAAATGTCTGAAAATTACCCATTTGGGTTTACTATCTTACTTTAATAACTATTAAACAAATACATCAGTTCCCCCCCAGAATTATGATCAGGCTTGATGTCAAAGTTAAGGTGGAAGCTGCTGATGGGCAGAGTTGCGTGTGGAATGAGTCCATTGGGCCTGGACTGAAATCTCAGCTGACCTGCTTACTAGCTGCCTGACCTCAGACAAGCCCCTTTCCCCTCCAGGACTTCACTCAGGCTAGAAGTGCTATCTGGAAAAGCAGACTCTCCTGTCCATCCCTGAATTCCTTGAGCCCATGCCATGGCCTGCATTTGACGGATGAATGACTGAGCTCTGCACTGTGCCTGGGACACAGTAGGCTCTCAGTCAGTAATGAAAGCGAACCGCCACTGAGCGCTCACTAAGTGCGAGGTGCTGTTCTAAGAGCTTAATGTATAGCCCTCACTGGATCCTGGCAATCACATTCTTAGGCTCCCTTTTATAGGAGGGAGAACACAGCCTCGAGAATTTAGATAACGTCCCTTAATGCTAAATAGCTATTTGTAGTCCAGGAAATGGTAGGCATAATTATTATTGCCAATACTGACCGCAACCCTGCTGCTCCATGATGCCGCCCTCACACTAAATTAAGTGTAAAAGTTTACTGTCACGATAGGGACAGAAGGGCTGGCTGCCCTTCTCATCCCCACGCTCATTCATACATCAACCTCCCGGTAACACACAAAGTAAACTGCTAAGCTGAGTGCTGGGCCTCACTCAGACAGTAAGGTTGAAGAGGCCATCCAAGAAAAATGCAGATCTCGTTCACACCCATTCTCCGTCCACAGTTCTGAGATGAACCTGCAACATCCCGTGGAACTCATCCGACTCAATCTCTAATACCCGCTTCTGTTTTGCACTGTTTCCTCATGTATGTAAGACAAAAACGAACCAATGAATATTTCCCAATTATGTGTAAAATCAGTAAGTGAGCTCTACATATGCACCAGACACCATGAAAGGAACATGAGCACTCAACCCTCACAACAATGCTCCATAGGAGGTATTTATTAACGCCACTCACAGGTAAGGAAGAACAGTCTGAGGGGTTGCGTGTTTTGGTCACTGTCAGAGCTAAGAAGTGTTAACAGCTGGATTTGAACACAGAGTTGAATTTCAAATTCAGGGCCATTGCTAGGTTCTAAGTGATCAAAATTGCCTCTTTTTCTCATAGTTTATTTATCTATACATTCAATCACTGTACATCATTACTGCTTGTAAAACGAATTTTCCCAGCATGAATACACTGTGTATTAGTGCACTTAAAGCTTTTATCATGCACGTTATCAGCAGATCATTTTCCACTTTTGTGCCCTTTAAATGTTTTGCTTCTTTCTTTTTTGTGTATCAGTGTGTATAAATACATCCACACGACATGTGAGGAGACTTTAAAGAGTTCACGGAACAGGGCCAGCAGGTGCCACAGTGGTGAAGGCTCTGGATTCCCGCACGGTAAATTGCGGTTTGAGTCCCCAGACCCAGCGACTTGAAAATCATGCCGGGCACGAATACATTCATGCCCAAAATCCCGAGAGGAGAACAGAGGAAAAGGGATTGCAGTGCGGCCATTCCTCCTGGGGAGATTTCTCATATTAGGAGCTCAATTATTTATTTTAGACATAATTGGGAAATATTACTTGGCTTTTGTCTCAACGTACATGGGGAAACTGTACAAAACAGAAATGGATATCAGATGAACTCGATGGGATGTTGTGGCACTGATGTTTCCCTCTCTCTCTCTGGTGAAAAACTGAAAAATAATAATAATAATTCATAGAGAAGTGGAACTGAAGTATGGGCATTGGGCCAGCCTCAGAGCCTAGTGGTTAAGGGACCTAGATCCCACGTGACAGACTGCAGTTTGAATCCTGACCCTGGTGTCTTGAAAAAAACTCCTGGCCCAAACGCGTGCATGCCCAGAATCTCAGCTGAGTGGAGGCATGGAGGAGATGGGATTGCGGCATAGCCACTCCTCACTGGGGGTGTCTGCTCCCTCACGCATGTGCAAGCATGTATTCCCTGACAATTGAAAAAAAAAAAAGTATGAGTTTCTTTGGTGCAAAAATTTTGCAATCTTTGCATAGTTTTATCACAATACACATTTTCATTTTCCATGAGCTTTTCAAAGACCACCGTGTGTGAGAGATTTCAGTTTTCTGTTCCTACTCCCTGAGGAAAGCCTGCCTTTGTTAGAACTCCCCACTATGAAGAAGGAGCATGTGCGTTTCACTCCGGAAAAGCAAACCCATGGCTCTCATCACAGGGCGGTGTCAGGGCAGTGGTTCTTGGGACACGCAGCATCGGCATCAGCTGGGAGCACAGGGAGACAGATGGTCAGGCTCAGACCTACCGAGTACTGGGCCTGCACACCTGTTTAAATTGCCCTCTGGTCGTTCTGATGCCTGCTCAGGTTTGCAAACTTCAGCTGGAAGCATCAGGAACAGTTAGGCCTCTGGTTTGACTCCAACTCCTGCCCTGCCCCTACTCACCAAGCGACAGCTAGCAGGATGGAGGGAAGAAGACAGAAGACGGGACGGGGGAAGGAGGGAAGTGGTACAGAAGGTGTTCTCCCGCTGAGGGACTGCCCAAACGCTTCAGTTCACTTGCTAAGGTCCCACGCTGGGCACCGGGAATATCCGAGACAGGTGAGATGTCCAGTCAATGACGTACAAGAGTTGGTGTAGAAATGTGAAAAGGCGCAGAGACCAGATCATAAGGCAATGTGCCACAGGCCAGGGCGGGCTCTGCGGGAACACGGGGCAGACCGGGGCAGGAGGGGAGGTTCCACTCTTAGGAGGGGCAGGGCCAAGGTTCCAACCCGTGTTGTCATTTCCCAAGTGTGAGTCTCCTTGTCCTTCCCGTCCTGACAGTGCTGTCACTAACCGTGTCCTTCACACCTCCTCATTCAGAGCCTCCTTACTCGTAACCACATGACTGCCGAAGTCTTCTCTTCTGCCACAAGCACTGACAGCAAAGCTGATTCCAGGGGGACAAAGGCAGGCAGCATAATTCCTCAGTGCCTCCCAAGGGTCCGTCACCACCCTCCAGCAAAGGCAGCCCTCTTCCATTCCACTCACTAGGAGGCCCCCTACTGGGCCTCCTGACCACTCTGCTGGCACTGCCTGCCCTCCGGCTGCCCTGGGGTCCTCAGCACTGAGGGGTCAGGAAAGCCATTTCTTCTCACTCTGGCCAGCCTCCCTGCACACAAGGCAGAGTGTCCCTGCAAGGGGAGAGTTTTATAGAGGGCCAAGGTTCTTTCACAGAGGGGGCATTGAGTGTACTGCAGTGACCCGGAGCTTTCCTGGGGTTGTCCCCAAGTGACTCCTACATAGTATATAGCCAGTAGTCCCTTGCTGAAGGGACGGGAAGAAGAAGGGAAATTAGTTGGTCAACACCAACTAGGATCTTACGATGTTGATACTCCAGGCCACTGTGAGGTTGAACGATACTCAGAGACTCATGCAGTGCCTGGCGCATAGCAGGTGCTTGAATAAGTAACAAAAAAACTTTAACGGGCCACTGTGAGGTTGAACGATACTCAGAGCCTCATGCAGTGCCTGGCACATAGCAGGCACTTGAAT